TAAAATGGCCAGCCAATCCAATCGCTCAGCTAACAGCAATTCACTTCAATCTGCTGCTGCTGCTGCTGCAACTCTTGACTCACCACAGCCTGAACCTCCTCACCTCATGTCTCAACTACCGCACCTCACCTCACACTGCTCATCTTTGCGTCACTTCATCTCATACCCTCTTCAGTCTGAACTACATCACCTGCCGTATCAACTCTGACTCTGTCTCAACAAAGAATATAACCCACTCGAAGATATATCCACACAGTGCGATCCATTCATCCATCCATCCCACTCTCGATCGCAAACGATCCAACTCCAAATCACAACGAAAATATTTCATATTTAATTTTCCCAACTTCCATCCCATTACACAAACTCAGTCAAACAATCCCCTTCCGCAATACCCATCCACCTCATTGCTTTCGCTCTTTCGCTCCTCTATTTCCAGTCAGTAGTTCGAGAAGAATATTCTTTCACCAATTCAATCATTGTTCCATTTCAAAACGAACGACAACTCCTTGAATATTCCACTGTTTCATTCATAATCGCATCATAATGTCTTCACCATCCACACAATTGTCAAGAGATCACAATCCATCACCGCAACAGTTGGATCATATTAGGCAAATGTTGTTAACGCCACCCGCTAGCCGACCACCTGAATTCGAGAATCCCCTCGAGAAGATCGAACAGTTGTTGACGTGTCCGATTTGCTTGGATCGATACAAGTGAGTAGTTGGTTGCTTTCTTTCTCTCTTCTTCTTTTTTTTAGTTCAAATTGACAATGAATCTAGCTAATTGATGCACGGAGGTTCTGAATGGAAATTTGTAAATTCGTTCCAAAAATTTTTGCTATTGTGAGGAAAACCGATCAAAAACATTACGACGCGTACAATCTGTCTATCAAAAAAAAAGCGTCTTCTGAAAGGAATTAATCTCTTTTGGTTCAATTTTGAAATGAATTTTCAACCGAAAAATCTGTTTGTTTCTGATTCAATGATATTGTGTCCAATAACACTCATTCGAATGAGATGCTTGGAGTTATGCAAAGTTTTTGTGAATAGAAACTTAATAACCATTAAATTTGGATGTATTTGAGATGAGATATCAAATGACATTCCGAGCAATCGCTTTGGAATTATCTAATAAAACAACTGTCATATATAAATTTTATTATCCAGCACATCTGCTTATGATTACATTCAACCACTTTGCATTTGTTCCACTTTTGTTGTATTGATCATTCTTACAATCAGTAGTTTTTTTCTTTAATATGCAACGATACTTGGAATGGATTCTTTTACGCTGAAATTATTGAGTTTATTGCTTTATATGCACTCCAGTTATAGTTTCAACAACCGCATTTGTTGTGATTGAAACAATGTGCATGATAATTAATGTTAATTCATAGTATTAATGAATTCATTTATCAAAGTATTAATGAATTAAAGCATATTTATTGATAGTTAAGACAAATTTCGCTTATGAGCAAAATTATGGAAGAGATGATGAGAACAGCAGAATGTAACGGTTTGGATTTAAAAAGAATATTGTGAAGAATATAAAAAATGAAGACATGTGAATGTGATGCTTCAAAATCAACCACATGAAAGCAACAAATGAAATTCCTCTAAAATAACCAATGAA